CAACCATCTTAATACCGCATCATAAAACCCCACAGTCACTTCTAGACATCATAATATGACAACACTAGAACCCATTCAGCTACACTTAATCCCCCTCCCCCCCCCCACCCATCACCATAGTTACACAGAACTAACCGCCACCCTTCCCTCCACAGCCCCAACTGCCTGCTAACCACCAACAGCCAGTCCACCAGACTGACCGTCTCCTACGGTACCTACACAGGTGATGAGCTCAACCCTGACATCGTCTGCCAGAGGGCTCTGGGGACTAAACAGACGTCCTTCTGCCGGGTGAATACACTGTTACTTCTTTTTTTTTTACTACGTATCATGTTCTAAACTCTTCATAATGATTATACATGCACGTGAAATAAATACATCACATTTGAAACTGTTATTAGTTTTCACCATAGGTGGCAACAACGAGACTACTATAGCTTTTCTTAATTAAACAATCGGGCAAATTACATTTTGTTGATCGCTGACAATGCTTTTAGACCGCACACAATGAGTGATTTTTCAGTATTTCATTGCCACCACACACCTTCAGTGAATGTTGACGTTTTACTACCTCTACAGATCCTCAATATGCGTTGACAATTTACTACCTTTACAGATCCTCAATGAACTTTGACCTTTTACCACCTCTACATATTCTAAATAAATTTTGACCTCTGCAGTCAATCAGCGAACTCTGACCTTTCATTACCCCCACAGACCCTCTATGAACTCTGACCTTTCATTACTCCACAGACCCTCTATGAACTCTGACCTTTCATTACCTCCACAGACCCTCTATGAACTCTGACCTTTCATTACCTCCACAGACCCTCTATGAACTCTGACCTTGTATTACCTCCACAGACCCTCTATGAACTCTGACCTTTCATTACTCCACAGACCCTCTATGAACTCTGACCTTTCATTACCTCCACAGACCCTCTATGAACTCTGACCTTTCATTACCTCCACAGACCCTCTATGAACTCTGACCTTGTATTACCCCCACAGACCCTCTATGAACTATGACCTTTCATTACCTCCACAGACCCTCTATGAACTCTGACCTTTCATTACCTCCACAGACCCTCTATGAACTATAACCTTTCATTACCTCCACAGACCCTCTATGAACTCTGACCTTTCATTACCCCCACAGACCCTCTATGAACTCTGACCTTTCATTACCTCCACAGACCCTCTATGAACTCTGACCTTTCATTACCTCCACAGACCCTCTATGAACTCTGACCTTTCATTACCCCCACAGACCCTCTATGAACTCTGACCTTTCATTACCCCCACAGACCCTCTATGAACTCTGACCTTTCATTACCTCCACAGACCCTCTATGAACTCTGACCTTTCATTAGTCCACAGATCCTCAATGAACTCTGACCTTTCATTACCCCCACAGACCCTCTATGAACTCTGACCTTGTATTACCCCCACAGATCCTCTATGAACTCTGACCTTTCATTACCTCCACAGACCCTCAATGAACTCTGACCTTTCATTACCCCCACAGACCCTGAGCCCACTGAACGGTGACGCCGTCTGCTCTCAGATCTACTGCCGCGTACCTGGTACCCTGACCTGCACCGCCATCTTTCCCTCTGATGGCACCCCGTGTAACAGACAAAAGGTAATTTTCACCTTTACGTTTGTCTTCATGTAACAACATCAGCGTAAGTGGAGTAGTGGTTTTACTGTAGTCCAACACAAGACTTCATAGAATAGGTGTGTTTGGTTGTTAGTCTCATTGTCATCACATGTTTAGTGCTAAAGTCAGAGATTAGTATTAACTTCACGGTAAGGCTATTTGTATCTATTTATAAACTAGTATTCAACCTCCACCCCAACCCCCTACTTAAAAAAAAATAGAGAATTCTACTTGTGGAAATATTGGAACCTATTATAACTCATTAGCTGACCTGTCCATTTTTACAGTTTTTCTCAAACCTTGGGCTCTTTAAACAAAAAGTTAAATTTAGTTGAACGGTTTTGAATAATCACAAACAGTTTTTAAAGCGTTTTGTTTAAAACTTCAACTACAGAAACCCAGCGATAGTACACATAACCAAATTTCATAAACTCTGATATTTAAAAAAAAAAAACTTCATTTTAATATTCTACCTTTGACACTTGATATATTATTTTCATTAATTATATTTTTAAAATTTTACTTGCCAAACATTCTCATTGAAACTAACAGGTGTGTTTTTAAACATGTGTTATTTGAGGCTGCTAACTATTAATGATTAATGATATTTGGGTTAGTTTACTCATTTGTCTAACTAAGGCAAATTATTACAAAGCAATTCGTCACTTTATAATAAACTTTAATGCTCTTTTATTACAGAGATGTAACTCGGGCACATGCCAGCCCGACTCTACTGCAGCTACACAAAACCTTGACCGTAAGTAAAGAAAATTGTCACGTAATCTGAAAACTTGGACAGCGAAGCTTGAAAAAAATGTAGTATATTGTGTAGCTAGTTATTCGGCCTCTATCTGCAGATTCTATTTACTGTTTAAAATGACTATTTAACACCTGTATCTTTCTACCTGTACAGCCAACTGTGTGTGGGGTGATCAGACCACTCTGGAACTACCGTCCGTCCCCTATATTGGAAGCTGCCCAGGGTTCGTTGCCCTCTACAAACCCATCAACTGTTACGTCACATCACTACAACAGCAGTGCTGCGGCACGTGTAAGCAATACTACACTGGACGTGTTGGTGAGTCGTTGTTTGATGGGTTTTATACTACACTGGACGTGTTGGTGAGTCGTTGTTTGATGGGTTTTATACTACACTGGACGTGTTGGTGAGTCGTTGTTTGATGGGTTTAGGTTAGGTTTTAATCATATCATACTTATGTGTTAATCTCAAAGGTTTATATATATATATATATATATATATATATATATACATCTCTCTCTCTCTCTCTCTCTCTCTCTCTCTCTCTCTCTCTATATATATATATATATATATATATATATATATATATATATATATATATATATATATATATATATATATATATATATATATATATATATATATATATATATACGTATATATATATATATATATATATATATATATATATATATATATATATATATATATATATATATATATATATATATACATCTATATATATATATATATGACATGATAATATAAAATATCACAAGTGTTAATGCTGCGATGAGAATTTTTATTTTTACTAATATAAAGCACATGCTAATATAAAACATCACGATTATAATGTCCACCGTGTCTAATAACTCGACTTCCCCATCCAGGATGTGAGTACGGCGACAAGTCCCTGGACTGCACGAAATACACCAAAGCTTCAGTCTGCCCTTATTACGGGAACACTCTCTGCTGTGGCTACTGCTAGTAAGTCTACTGATTCATTCCCTTGTCTGTAAACATGTTTCGTGTATGTCTGTACTTATGTGTGTATTGTGAACTTGTTATCCAGCTTTTATGTCGGTTAAGTGAGGCTTGTCTTTGAAACTAGATATTGAAGTCTAGTGTAATGGGTTAGATCGTAGCTGAAACAGTGTTTATCCTGCTCAGTTTGCTCTTCTACATTCATGTAGTCAACAAATCGTGCAATATATTTAGTTCATTTGCAGTGATATATATATATATATATATATATATATATATATATATATATATATATATATATATATATATGATACATGTATATATTATATATGTAGCCTATATATATACATGTATATATATATATATATATATATATATATATATATATATATATATATATATATATATATATATATATATATATATAATATATAACCCGATGATTGTAAATGATCCTATCAACTTGTATTTACTCTACCAGTGGCTATATGGGCAAGCGTTCTATCCTTGACGGTATCGGTCAGCCACGAGTAAACATCACCATCACCCCACCGGTCAACCCACGGGGAGTCATAGGACAAGAGCATAAGGACAGGATCAGTGGACCTCATTAGATGGTCGTTAGTGGACCTAATTAAAAATGGTCATTAGTGGAAATGAATTATCTGTCCATTCGTGGCTAAATACAAAATGTATCTCTCTTTTAACCTCAGTATGTAGTGTTGTAGTATAGTAAAGATCGCATAGTGTAGCTTTTTTTAATGAAAAGTATTGAAATAAAATGTGCTTTTTAAAATAGCTTCTTTTTTCTGAATTAAAATTAATCACAATACTTAGATGTATAAATAGAGTATTATTACATTTAATGTATGTATGTGACTTATTCTGAATTTAACAACAATGAAATGAGAAAGCCATTTTTTATCATTTCAACATAAAAAAAACCTCTTGAGATAGTTTAAGGTTGTTGTTTTTTTTTCTTTTATCGACATGTAATTTTATAATTATATATTTTGTAATACTTTTAATAATTAAACCTACTCAATTGTTTAGTGAATGTTGCATTTCATACCATGCTTAATAGGCTCTATTAAAAGCTTCTTTTTTTACAAATTTTAATTCTTGCTGAATTAATTTCTGTGAGGGGGTTCTTATGGGACACTTACATGTAATGTAGTAAATTGAACATTGGATTTTATAATCACTACATTTAACAACTTGTCTCCACGAGACACAGACAAATAAACAAAATCCCAACTATGAACGTTCGAGCTTTAACTTTACTTTGTTACATATTAAAATTAAACTTTATTTTAGACATAAACGTTCGACTTTAAACTTTATTTTCTTAACAACAACATTTTAAGAAGAATTTGTGTTTTCAGTATTATACCCAGCCGCCTCTACTTTTGGGTTTAATGTAAATCTAATAACTCAGTTGTGACGACAATGCAATAACATAATATTTTCGATAATAAATAAATACGTAATTACTCATTAACAATAAAAAAATCTCATTAATACATGAATAAATAATAATTAAAGAATAACACTATCAGGTATTATCCTACCACGGTGAGCAGTTTGTCACGGATGGCTGGTTTCTTGTCTGAAAGCTGACCACGGTATAAGAAGGGGGAGTAACCTCATTTTTTAAATCACAATAATTTAACAAGCAGCATCACAGTTCTAAAAACTAATAGGTAACAATTCAATTATAGTTGTTCAAACTTTATTTTTTTAGATCCAATGTATATGGAGATAGTGGTGTTAACGAAATCAGTAAGTAATGTAATTTGTTTTTAATTTTTAAGGCAATGATCCATATTTTCGAAACAAGCCAAAAACCAGAAAGATGTCGCATAAGGAAGCAAGTACACGCTATTGTAATGACTTACATAGAAATTCTCGTTTCTATACAAGCCCATTCACAATGGTGGATTTACGCTGTCCAATTGGACTGAGAAATTTTAAATGAGGCTCCTATCTATGATTGAAATACCCATTGCGTATTTATTTCATCAATGCCTGAATTTTACGCCTTGGTAGAAATATCGAAATATTAGTTTTAAAAATTAAAAAAAAAACCCACACAAAAACTATTACAGCTAGATTTTTTTTACTGGAAGCCCATCGGAATTTTCCCACGGTAGACCGACACCCAAGTCAACCCCTGACGTTATATATATATATATATATATATATATATATATATATATATATATATATATATATATATATATATATATATATATATATATATATATATATATATATATATATATATATATATGGGTGGTAAATTTAAAAAAAAAAAAAAAAAAAATATATATATATATATATATATATATATATATATATATATATATATATATATGGGTGGTAAATTAAAAAAAAAAAATATATATATTATATATATATATATATATGGGTGGTAAATTTTTAAAATAAATCATGGACGTCGCTAACTAATGACTCCGTATTTCTATTAGGTTTCACCAACTTTGGCTCTATCTGTGACAGTCTGACCGCCTTGACCATCGCAGAGTTCCAGGGAACTTACCGTGACGTCACGTCTCTGGCGCACGCTCTTGGGTTTGCGTAAGTAACTTATAACAGTTTGGTCAACTCACATGAGCACACATTTCCATCGCCGCCCTTAGACTTGCGAGTGTATATCTATGACACTTAGCACGTTCAAGTTTCTTTAACACGTGGCTGATTTTAACTAATCGCCTTTAGCAGCTAATACCCGCCGTTGCTAAGATTGTACTCGTCGTATTGATACACTTAAACTAAGTGTACTTCCACAGACTAGGCGCCAGTAACGACGACGCCAACTCCACCTACATCATGTCGCCCTACAGCTACCCCTCACTGACCAACCGTTGGAGCTACTCCAGCACTACCGCTGCCTACATCATCCTGTTCATTAATCAGCTCAGGTAATTCTCAGTACTAATGTCATCGTCTGCTTCAGGTGGAAGTTGTTTGTATATTATATCAAATAACCTCCATGTAATAAAACACTCATATATACAGAACTAACAGCCAACCCTCTACCATAGTACCCAGTGTTTCTTCCAGACTTTATTCTCCGTGGAGGGGGGAGGCACATTTTCTGGTAGGGGGAGGGGCGGACACTGTTAAAAGTATATATTTTCTATATAAATTCCATTTTTAGGGGGGTGGAGGACTTTCTTCGGGGGTGGGGGGGGAGGAGGCCCCCGAAGAGATGCCTGGAAGAAACTCTGATAGTACCACAACAGTAACCACCAACCCTCTACCATAGTTACACAGCACTAACTTTGATTCCTCCCGTCCACAGCCCCAACTGCCTGCTAACCACCGACAGCCAGTCCACCAGACTGAACGTCTCCTACGGTACCTACACAGGTGATGAGCTTATCCCTGACATTGTCTGCCAGAGGGCACTGGGCACCACTCAGACGTCATTCTGCCGGGTAATCAGGGCCTTTAAAACTACACTAAACATTGTCTTCATATTACATTTTGTTTTTAAATAACTATAATCATATGTATTATATTAATACGTATTTACCACGAACATGAATGTTTTTTAATTTTATGATATTAGATATTATTGTGAATGTGTTTGTTTTTCACAAAGCGTACGTGGTCAATTTTAAAACAGCAAATTATTTGTTACGTCCACAGACCCTGAGCCCACTGAATGGTGACGCCGTCTGCTCAGAGATCTACTGCCGTGTACCTGGTACCATGACCTGCGATGGCGTCTACCCGTCTGACGGAATGCCATGCGACAAACAAAAGGTAACAACCACCTATACAACAGTTATATAAAGCCTACTCCACTACAAACCACCTTTAAAACAGTTATTGAAAGTCTATAAACGACTTAGAAATATTCGTCACGGCGAAGCGTTTGTAGAATAAACAGAATACAGTTAGTAGCTAAACGCTAGAAAATAATTAATCAACACAAACAAACACAACAGTGCAATATAATTATACTGAAACACTGCAAATGTTAAAAACTAAAGATAATTGACAACTGGACATAAGCAATAGACTACAATAAAAAAAACTAATTAATTGAGAAGTAAAAAAAATAAGGAATACATATGTTTACCTATCAACTTGGAGAGCGTTAACGCTATATATATCAAAAGGGACAGACAGTTGTTTCAATAATGAATTATATAAAGTAATTTCAGTCGAATATTGAATTAGCGTGCAGACCATATCATAATTATAAACTGTGCAATCAAAATAGCAAATATACTAAGACGAGAACTGACTGCATGTCCATGTATTAGTAATGGTATTCTTATTAGGTTAAACACAAACATAATACATTGGATTATGTATTGTATTTTTACAGAGATGCAACTCAGGGAAATGCGAGCCGGACTCTACTCCAGCTACACAAAACTTGGAATGTAAGTTGAAGAACTTAAAAATACATAAGTCTTTGAACGTGTGTCGTTAAAATACTAGTTGATATGATAAAATATACATAGTTTTATTGTAAAGTAAAAGTACACATTCCTTTTTACGACCCGTTGAGCAGATGAAGTAGAGTTCATATGTTTCTTGATCTCGGAATATGAATGGTGAATATGGTCAGCACTATGCAAAGCTGCCTTTACTTTCTCTAACCTGAGTTAGGTACGCATCAGAGTTGGGTTGGCTAAAGGTTTTGTTTTTTACTGACTTGAACAAGAAATCGATCTCGAGACTTTCTGGTTAGCAGTGTAGCTCTCTACCGCTATCGCCCGACAGTTTATTGTAACACCTTGATGTTTCTGTTTACTAAAACTAAAAAACCTAATTCAATGCACATGAACAGCCAACTGTGTCTGGAATGACCAGAGAACTCTGGAACTAGCGTCCGTCCCCTACATTGGAAGCTGCCCAGGGTTCCTGACCCAGGCCAATCACGTCAACTGTTACGTCACTTTAATCCAACAGCAGTGCTGCGGCACGTGCAAGCAATACTACACTGGCAGCGTGGGTGAGTCACTGTGACTGTGTAATAAAGGGTTCAACTGAGGCGTGAGTTACGACATGCAGAAGACTCATGAGGCGTTGGTCACTGTTCGACCATTTCAAGATGCCAGAGATAAGTTCTAAATCAGGTGCTAAATGGCTTTTGATATTACAACAGATTATCCAACACAAAAAGTCAATAACTTTATATATATATATATATATATATATACATATATATATATATATATATATATATATATATATATATATATATATATATATATATATATATATATATATATATATATAATGTTTTTTTTTTGTTGAGCGTGACAGTAAACTCTAGTGTATATACAGCGGAACATAAGCGATGAATTAGAATGCCTTATATATCAGACTGAGGTACCGGTTTAATAAACATGCTTCCCCCACCCCACACCCTCCCCTGCAGGCTGTGAGTACGGCGACAGATCCCTGGACTGCGTGAAACACCCCCCGGCAGCGGTATGCCCTACCTACAAAGACACACTCTGCTGCCACTACTGCAGGTAAGTTTTTTGTGAATTTTGTGCTGAATCAGCATCCGTGTGTGAATTTTGTGCTGACTCAGCATCTTTGTGTGAGCTTTGTCTTAGATTCCTGTGTAGCGTACATTGTCAGCTGATAGACAGATGAGAAATTTTCATTTCCGACAATTGGATTTCACTGCTTCTAATGGATAGATATTTTTGTGCATGTAAAGTTAGAACATTGTGTGCATGTAAAGTTAGAACATTTTGTGCATGTAAAGTTAGAACATTTTGTGCATGTAAAGTTAGAACATTTTGTGCATGTAAAGTTAGAACATTTTGTGCATGTAAAGTTATAAAATTGTGTGCATGTAACGTTATACCACTGTGTGCATGTAAAGTTATAACATTTTGTGCGTGTAACGTTATACCACTTTGTGCATGTAAATATAGAATTTACAATTGAATACCGGACATTTGGTTTTCACTGCTTGTAATGGATAGCCATTTCTGTGCATGTAAAGTTATAACATATTGTGAATGTAAAGGTATAACATTTTGTGTATGTAAAGTTATAGCATTTTGTACTTGTAAACATAGAATTTACAGTTGAATATCGATATATTGGTAATTTAATTTTAAATAAATCAAAGTTAAGGTCATATAAATAAATCCATATTAGTTATATTTCTCTTTTCTATTTCAAATTGGAATATTTTTAGCTAGTAGTCTATTCAGAGATAGTAGCCTAAACAGAGAAAGTTAGTAGCCAATTAAGAGATAGTAGCCTATAAAGAGATATACAGAGATAGGTAGTAGCCTATACAGAGATTGTAGTCTATACAGAGACAGTTAGTAGCTTATAAAGAGATAGTAGCCTATACAGAGAAAGTAGCCTATGCAAAGATAGTTAGTAGCCTATTCAGAGATAGTAGCCTATACAGTGATAATAACCTATATATATATAGAGAGAGAGAGAGTAGCCTATAGTGAGATAGTTAGTAACATATACGAAGATGGGAGGCTATAAACCTTATAGTATACAGAGATAGTAGCTTATACTGAGATAGTTTGCCCCTCAGAGAAAAATATGTTTTCTGCACAGTGGATGTATATAAAGCTGCATGTACGCATCATTTAATGTACAGCAGGGGTCTCCAAACTACGGCCCGCGGGCCGGATGCGGCCCGCGAGGTCCTCTCATCCGGCCCGCGGCGATCGTTTTGTCCTCGGAAAAAACGTTTGTTGGTGATGGCTGAGGAACTTTGCCCAGAAACATCAAAGACATGCCTGGAAGAAACTGGCCCCCGAACTGAAATTTGATAGTTAATGCGGCCCTCGGACTGAAAAGTTTGGAGACCCCTGATGTACAGTATAGCTTTATCGTAGCTTTTATAACCCGTACTTAGTCAGACAAAGCAGTGAATTTGTTACTGATAAATCATCACCTTAAACTTTTTGTGATCACTTCCAGCGGGTTTGTTGGCAAGCGTTCAGTCCCTGACGATGTTCTTGACCGACTCAACATCACTGTGGCTGTACCCGTTGACCCGTGGCCTGTCCATCGTGAGGAGCAGCAGGAAAAGATTAGTGGACGTGGCTAGAACAGTCGACAGAATGGTCATCACTGGCCTTTTAATACGGGTGACGCATCACTGTATGGGTCATTGGAGTCTTTATTGGAACAGTCAACAAATTGGATCTTTGTTTTATATATATATATAATTTTACGCACTTTTAAGACGAAACATAATCTATTACATTATGCTAAATCCTGTGTATCAATATTTGAGCAGCCTACTGTTATATCGACTATATATTTTATTCATTAAAATATCAGCTTTTCTGAAATGTGTATCTTGATATCAGATTTACCATTACTAAAAACATTTATTTCTGTAACACTAACCTAAACTTAAGAGCACTTTTTGTGGTCAAAATTATTCAATCGAAAACGTAATTAACATTGAGTATGAAAGCCATAACCACGAAGACAACGTCAGATCTACTTATTCTACAAGCATTGGGCTTTTTAAACAAATATTTCCAACTTCATTGCCCTTTATTTCGGCGTTAGTAGTGCATAAATTCTAGCCTTGGAATGAAATGACATGAGACATTACTCTTAGGATGTATTTTAAACCTTCCAATTAAATCCTTTTATCATTGGCTTGGACTTATCAGTAAGCGTTAGCCCTTTAATTACGATGAATATTTTATAAAATGAGTATTCTTTATTGAAAGGAAAAAGTTAGTAAATTAGACATTCCAATTTTCGCTTGTTCATTTCACCAAATGACCTGACTACTATATTCCTTTGTGTTCTGTTTCTTGTAGCGAGATTAATTAAAACTCGTGTCTTTTTTGGTTTCGTCAATGGTGAGTTTTACCAACCGGAGCTTTAAAAGCAACGTGTTACATAAGTTCAACTGAATATAAGACACGATAGTACATGGTAATGTAGGTGCTGATCCATATAATTAACACTAACTTTATTTAGACAAAGCACAAAATAAAACTTTAAATTTCAGCCATTAAGTTTAACAATAATACGCAACATTTTAGAGTCGCGTTTGTTTATTTTTTACTTTGATTTTGTTAAATTCCCGATAGTTATCTTCGGCGGTAAAGTTTTTCAATACTAGATAATATTGACCACAGAAGAAACTTATAAACTAAATCAATTTGACAGAATGATACGTTTTTTAAGTTGTGTGTGCTGTAAATTTTATTGTCTAAAAGTACAAAAAATAAATGTTTTAAAAATAAATTATTTTATTCTAAAAAACTTGTGACATTCAATTTAGCACATAAAGCATTTCTTCGATCAAGATGATGTAATTGCTGCTCTGATGAAATTATCTAGAGACTTGAAATTTCAAGTCCAAACAAATAAATAGATTGAATAATGTGTAATTAGTTGAGAATTTTGCAACTCTCTACAAGAGAAAAACATAGACAAACAATACAAAGCATAAAAATATAATAGCTGAATATTTGTATCACAGAAGTGGAAAGGCGAAAATGTTATATTTTAGAATTAGTTCTTTTATTATACTTAACTAATTAGGTCTATGTGTGATGGGCTGTCAATACTAAATTTTAATAAGCTAAAAGGTCAAACATTCTGTAGATTTTTGTTTCTCTAATAACTCTTTCAGAAAATACATGGTCGTATTTAGCCGTATATTCTTCAAACATAGCTGTGTAAATCTAATTGAGGAATAATACTCTCAGTTACCTTAAGGTTAATGATTTTATCTACAATCAAGAAAACCACGTGAAATCTACTCCTAGTCTCATGTATAGGGATGAAATAAATCTGTCTAAAAGCGGACTAGGCTAAGTTAGAATAGCATACGTCGTCAATCGTATGTGAGATAGTGAGATACAAGCGACACATATCACAGCTGGTTTAAACGTAAAGGGGAGGGAGAATTTAACGTAGAAAAAAACAAGTGTCTTTTTTCTTAAATACGTCAGGGCTGGGACATCCGTAGCTGAATTTGAACACTCCCAGACTGTCAGTTTGATGGTTGGTAGACGTGTGTAGCAGAGGCTTATCGAAAGGGGTGGGTGGGTATATCTGTCCCCGGGCGCCGACCCCAGGGGCGCCAAAATAGTATTGAAAAAAAGTAAACGCTCATTTTAACTGCAGTTTTGAATTATAAACAAAAAAATATATGGGGGGGGGGGGGGGCTAATTGTGAGTTTGTCCCCTATTGCCGGGAGAGGTCGCTACGCCTCTGTTTTATCCCTGGTTCTGTACTATGAATTCAGCAATCGATCAGCGTTATTCTGAGTTGCAATCAGGCATCTATTCGGACATCTACACTAAGCAAGTCTATTAATCAGGCATCTATTCGGACATCTACACTAAGCAAGTCTATCAATCAGACATCTATTCGACATCTACACTAAGCAAGTCTACCACCCTCTCCTCACATAAAGTATGAAACATGTCTAATTCATAGTCTCCGCCTCTCTCCCCTTTTCTTAAACTTAAGCCCCCCCCCCCCCCCCCCCCCACCCACGAATCTCTCGCTCTATTATTGAAGTTGATAAACGATTGATAGATTTTATGAATTGTAATATCGCTCAATCTAATATGGCTCTCAGAGAGTCCATCTCAGTAATTAACCTCATTCAGCAACCCCCATGATAAATATACCCGCTCCCGCAATAAACTAAGTAATGCATATAAGACATACAAACACACCGTTAAACAATTTGAGTGAGTGAGAGAGAGAGAGCTAAAGAGAGATGTATAGTTGGATATTTATAATCAATAAATACATGTGTACAATAACATAAAATAACAACATAATGTCAATGTTAATTGCAGTAAAGGCTAATTTAACGAGTTATATTGATAACGAGCATATTGATAATACATCATATAAAAGAGTTGCGTTGTAAAGAAAACTCAATTTTGTTTTCAATCCAAGGAATGTTATATGTTCTATTTTTAAAAAAAAATAAGAATGGAGCTTTAAACTAAAACATAAATATAATATTTTTAAAAATTAGGATAGAGATTTAAACTAAAACGTAAATATAATATTAAAAAATATATTTTAAAACTGTTTATCTATTTTAATAACTTATTTTAGTTATAATGTTTACTGTTTCAGCACCTTTTATGAATTGTAATCAGGTACTAGCTAAACGGTAATGTCCAAGACACATTAAATAAGATCGGGAAAACCTCATAAACCAGGACTATACATGGTACTAAAAATAACTCTGTATGAGGAATCGCCATTCTCGTTCAACACAGCCCTAAACGAACTGTTGCTGAAGGTTTGTACTTATTATTTATCTACCTAGTTTAAAATAATTTAGCGGATTTGATTGTTAATTATTGCTGGCTTTAAAATAAATAGGTCCTATTCAATTAAATACACTGAAGTTTAATTTGTTTTTAATTATTTAAATCCTACATAACTCGTCCATCAATAAATATGTTGTAAATAGCATTTGGATTTATTAGCGAAGCGTTTGCCCATAGTAAACTCAAATGCTGTGTTAAAGTGGTGGGTGGGGAGCAGAGTTTCTTCCGGGCATCTCTTCGAGGGGGGCCGAAAAAAGTCTACCGCCCCCCCCCCCCCCCCAAAAAAAGAAATGGAATTTATAATTATAGAAAACATATACTTTTACCAGTGCTCGCCCCCCCCCCCCCCCCGGAAAATGTGGACCGCCCCCGAAAATATCAAGTGCACCCCCGGAAAAAAAAAGTCTGGAAAAAACATTGGTGGGGAGTGGGTAGTTATTTTTACTGTTTTTTTTTCTGCTCTGGAAAAATGTAACTCGTTTGTGAATTTTTCTAGGAAATAAATGTAACGTACATCATATGGGGAGGATTAAAAGTTCGTGTAGTTATTGCAGGGAAGAAGAAAGTTCTAACTTAATTTTTTTAAGAACGGATTTTTATCTATTGGAAACAATAGCATCAAGATACATTATATCATAATATGGTTTTTTATGTGTTATGTAAAATATTTAAAAAATGTAACAGATATAAAAAATAAAAAGAGGTATAATTTTTACTTTCTTGTATATACGAAGTATAGAGAAAGTCTTGTAATCGTGCAAAAAAAAATCGAGATTTTTACAAATCTCGACGTTTTACACCTCACTGATACGGAAAAACATAATTTTGCAATCTTGTCCGTATGTCTGTGTGTCTGTGTGTCTGTCTGTCTGTCCGTGTGTAAACGCGATAACTTGAGTACCGTTACAGCTAGGTTGATGAAATTTCATATATAAGTATTTTATCAAAATCGTAGATCCGTATCAACTTTTGAGCGATTTCCGATAACCGGAAGTGGTACTTTTCCTACTTTGAATTTTTCAAAAGCCTATAACTTGAGTACTATTTCAGATAGATAAATGAAATTTCACATGTTAGTAAAAGATCTAATTCTCTACCTTCTGTTAAATTTTGAGTAATTTCCGTTGACTGGAAGTAGTAATTTACGCTACTTCCGATTTCTCAAAAAACTAATGTAAATTCTTAAAGTACTTATAATATTGCGCACTATTATACGCTTTTTTATTTGGCGTTCACGTGGTGTGCAATTAATCTGTCTACGAGATTTTATTCTATTTTTAAAACTTTAAGTATTTAAAATGGATTAAAAATCATGTATATAGCCCGAGTTCCCATCCCCTGTTATTTTATATAAGAATATTCGAGAAAGTTTAGGGGAGATCACTCCCGGTTTATTTCAATAGAAATAATGAGTCAAACTTACACACTTCAAATTGACTAAGAAAAAGAAAGTTAAACTCATATTCATATCATTAAGCTTCAACCTATCTGAAAACATACATTGATAATTTTAACATTGATAATTTTATTTTTTTATAGTTTTTTTTTTAATCTCTGTAAAAAAAAAAAAAAAAAAAAAAAAAAAAAAAAAAAAAAAAAAGTTTTTATATTTCGCTTCCTAAAAATGGGTCAAAATACGTGGCCAAAAATGTTTCTTAAAATTAATCTATATCAAAATTAAGTTTTCTTTATGTGTCTTCCCTCCCCTCTCTCGTCCCACCCCATCCCCACGCGCCTCGTTAGAAGAAAACGGCATAGGCTGGTCACTCGGGAAAACGTCACATTACGGGACTTTTCTTGTTCTAAAAATACCACTTGTGTTTATGTTGTTCCCTAGACACTCACATTTTAAAATTGACGAAAATAAATTAAATTTTGAATATGCAAAGAAAAAATAAATACATATGTGACGTATTCGGGCACAGTCAATATGAGAAGTTATTAATCAAACGATTTGGAATTTAGACTTAATATGTAAGTTCGGGAAAACCGCAGACTACCGAACTTACGTGGTACTAATAATAGCATTGTGTGACGGATCGCCATTTTATATCAATATATACCCACACGAACTGATGCTGAATGTATGTAATTTTTATATCTCTATCTAGATTTATTAATTTAATTGATTCGATTAAAAAAGTAGGGCCTACCCCTTAATTTCAAAATAAATAGGTCATATTCAATTTGATAAATTGAAATAATATATATATATGTATATATATATATATATATATATATATATATATATATATATATATATATATATATATATATATATATATATATATGTATGTATATACAAGTAGTAAATCATAGTTAAGTCGATATGAAGTTATTGTTAAATAATTCTAACATTGGTTAAAATACACACTTTGGTTTTTGTTTCTCCATAGACATAAAATGTTTTAAAACTAACGGAAATAATCAAATTGAATTTACCTAGAAAAAAATGAATAAGGTCTACATATGAAATGTTTTCGAACGCATTAAAATACAATCACTTATTAATTATGACGTTATGTTGCCAACTGATCTGCAACGAGTGAAAGCTTAGAACCCCTACTAGAAAACATTAGACAGGACAACTTGATTAAAGGACTGTACATTCCAAACACGGTAGGCAAGAAAATACTTGCATACACAGACGACACTACTTTCTTAGTACAAACAGAAAAAGCAATACAGACTGTAATAGAAAAATTCAACAACTTTGGGAAAGGAAGCGGTGGAAAAATAAACGCAGAAAAATCAAAAGTAATGGGTATAGGTAAATGGAAAGGTAAAGATAATTATCACATAGACATAACAATAACTGACAAATTCAGAATTTATGGAATAACCTATACCAGCGATCCCACAATAAACGACCAAGAAACTTGGACCACACTGAAAAATAAAATAAATCACAATCTAGAAAAATACCAATACTGCAATACAACCATTTTTGCCAGAGCTGCATTAGTAAACAGATATATCATTCCAAAAATAATTTTCGTAGCGACGAACTCTACAATACCCAACTCATTTATTAAAAAAACAAACAAGCACATTAGAGAGTTCATTTTCAAAAACACGATTAGAAACATTAGCCACAAAACATTAATACAAAATAAATTAAATGTAGGAGTAGGGCTGTACGACATTCAAACTAAAATAAACACCTTCCGATTAAAACACCTGGATAGAATAAGGATAGAACCACATTATCGTCCATTAGCACAATACTACATTGGGTTAAACATAAAGAGCATTTTAAAAATAAACATCACCACACTATGGGGGAAATGACATAGGCAGCTTTTATAAAGAAACGCTAGCAAAGAAACAAAAGCATTATTGAGGAAGACACGAAAAAAATATACGACATCCTAATCAAACACAAGCGACACCCTTATACACGAGAATTAGTTGGGCCAGGGAACACAATATAATAGACATTAAAGATACATTTAGAAACCTGCATAATAAACGCATTACACCAAAAGAAAGGGAAGTAGCATATAGACTGATTTTTAATACGACTCCAGTTTCACGAAATACAAAGTCCAACCAAAATGTTAAAATAACATTTGCAACGAGTGAGCCCTACATAAACTCATTGATTCTATTGATCAGTTTTGCTGCAGTATGTAAAATATAATTTGGTTGAAAGTCGCAGAAAATGGGATTATTTAGATCTAGTATTTATGTATGTCAATAAGATCCATATCCAGGGGCGGAACTACAGTGCCGCCAGACCCCGCAATGCGGGGGAGCCCACGCCATTTAGGGGCCCAGAGTCGACCAAAATAATTTTTTTACTTAAAAAAAATAATGTTCTTGCATTTTTGACTTGATGGTTGTTTTGTAAAAGATTACCGTAGCTGCGGTTGGATTATCTTTTTTCTATAGACCACCTCACGCTCTTGTAAATTCTTTTACCCTTTGTTTTTAAACCACTCTGAAAGCGGAGTCCTCCTACAATAAAACTTATCAAAAATAAGCAAACGTTCAAACCACTAACATGACTTATTTCCCCTTTTTAAATAGTCAAATAGGGGTGCTCCTAAGCTCCTTTTATTAGATTTTGTACTAAACAAATTAAAAAGCAATTACTTCTCTTAAATATTTTTTTGTAACGTACTTACTAAAGAATGACATTGTACAAAAAGGAAATATATTTAAAATTAATAATATAAATACAAAAGAACATAAGAATAAACATAATACGAGACACCATTACTTATACAAAGCTTTCATGTTTTATATTCTTTCGACTAGAGATTAAGAGGGCTTATAGTAGAAATAAAAATATAACTGATTTTCATAAAAAACACATTAATGCACTTACACACAAGACATGATATAGTAATTTGTTTTAAATGAAAAAAAAACCCATTTTTTTAAAAACTTGAACAGGCCAGCAATGAGTATCCTATGTTCGTATTTTGTGTTTGTATATGTTTGTATATATATATATATATATATATATATATATATATATATATATATATATATATATATATATATATATATATATATATATATATATACTAGCCGTCCCGGCCAGGCCCTGCTCTGGCTTCTGTGAAAAACCTTTCTGTTAAAGACCATTACCTGTGTGTTTAGTAATCATCATAAACCCGGCATTGCCCACCCAAACCACAACCAACCAAAACCAAAACAACAAAACGCAAACATAACGCTAACACAATTACAAATACAAACGAAAACAAAAACTTAACAACAAACACAACCACACCCACAAACACCAATACAAACACAAAGAAAAAACAAACAAAAAAGCAAACGAAAACAAAAACCTAACAACAAACCCAACCACAAACACCAATACCAACAAAAAAAAAATCAACGAAAAAAGCAAACGAAAAGAAACCAAATCCAAACGCAAAACCAACCAAAAACACAAATACAAACCCAAACAAAAAAAAACACAAACAAAAACGAAAAAAGAAAGAACAAAAACGAACCAAATTAAAACGCAACCACTAACGCAAACCCACCTAAACACAAAGAAAACACTAACGCGAACATAAACGCCCGGGGCGGAATCACCTGTTTTAGCTTAATGAACGACTATAGTACCCCAACTTATTCACAGTCTTTTGCACTCACTTAAACGAACGCGCCTGTTTCAATTTAACAAACAATTTTAATACTCCAAGCTTATCCGTAAAATACCTACAACATTTGCACTTGATCAATCCCCGCTAATTATGTAATTATTTTTTTTCCCAACACCAAAACAAAGTAATTAAAAAGTAAATTATTTTCACGGAATGCAATGGTTTTATAAAGGGAAGTAATTGTGTTTTTCCTAATTTATCAAAGGGAAGTAAGTGCTATAGGACTAAATAAAGACATAATTAGAATTTTTGTAAAAGATGATACTTTTTTTAAAACTTGTGTTTAATGAACATGCCGACAATTATTACTATAATTTGAAAAATGAAAATTATTTCCCAACACTTTTAATAGTAATGTTTTAGCTTATAAATTTAGACAAATGCGCACGATAATTTTCTAACACTTAAATTCGTACAATTCCAACGACATACAAATGCATTACATACAGAACTGAGCTTTATATATTAGATATATATATATATATGGGGGGGGGCCTAAAAATTTTTTTGCGGGGTGGCCCTTTTTTTCTAGTTCCGCCACTGTCCATATCCAGGCATATTCAAAATAATTAAACGTTCTACTGATACCGAGATACTCATTATAGCTCTACAAAATGTTGAAATTTAAAGAAAGATGCTGTTTTTAAATATGCAGCTTGTTTAGCTTTTTTTTTTTTAAAAAAATCCCCGTAAAATAGCTTATGTGTAGGTATCTTAAGGCCTAAATGGCAAGTTAACTGCTAAATTATGGTATCGATACTTCAAAAGTAAAACTACTTTTTACAACAGACGATCATTTCACGTCATTTCATTAGCAGACCGGTTAGACCTTCTCGGAGTTCTTAGCACAAACAAATTAATTAATAAGATTTAGATCTACTAGATCTAGATGAAAATTTAAAACTATTAAGAATCTACACTTTATCTACATTTCTAGATTCTAGTTATAGATCTAGTTCTAGATCTAGATTTCGATCTTTTTGGTCAGCCAAATCTAGATCTAGACATCTAGATCTAGATCTAGAATCTAGATCTAGATTCTAGATCTAGATCTAGAATCTTTAGAATTCTTGACTCTCCTCTAGATCTAGATTTAGATTCTAGATCTAGATCTAGATCTATACTTATACTATTAGTACTAATTAGTAATTAGTATACTCTATATTAATATCTAGATCTAGATCTAGAATCTAAATTTGTTCATAGTTCTTACTAACAAAATCTTGGTAATCTAAAATCTAAATCTTGCTATCTAGAGTATCTAAAAAGTAGTATCATAAGTTAACTATAAGACATAAGATCTAGATCTAGTCTAGATATTCTTATGGAATCTCTAAATCTAGATCTAGACTCAGACAGATCTACTACTAGATCTAGATCTAGAGATCTAGTAGATTTAGTAGATACTACTAGATCTAGATCTAGTACTAGATTTCTAGATCTAGAAGATCTTAGATCTAGTACTAGTACTAGAGTCTAGAGATCGTCTAGAATAGTCTAAAGATCCTCAATCTAGATTTTACTAGAGTCTAGACTCATAGACATAGAGTAATGATGCTATTATTATTATTGTTATCTCTCTCTACTCTATAGAATACAATATTATAGATCTAGCGTCATAAATTATCCCATGATTTATGTTGAGTTTCGTAAACATTCGTAACCGTAAACCATAGTTTATTTGACCATTGAAATAAAGATAGTCATGTGCATTAAATTAATGTTTTAGGCCTAACTAAATTTTAAGTTTAATTGACAGAAAATTAGTAACAATTAGTAAATCTAAATATTATTTATTATTAATAAAGTTGAGTGTAGTAATTAATGCTTTTTTTAAGAAACAAAAAAAAAAAAAACTTGTAGAAGATTTGCAACATACTCGATCTAGTAAATTAAGACGATTAGATTTACAAAAGTTAAAAGTAGTGAGAAGAACTAGAACAATGTTAAGTAGCAGCAAAAATTAGCATATACACTTAAAATAACTAGAAATACAAAATAATTAGCAAAACAGTATTTAAAATGCAAATAAAATCAATTCATCCACATTTTTAAACTTTATGTATAAAAAATAATATGGCGGCAAATAAATGATGGTTTACAGTATTTTCGGTGGTTTCCGGAACGGCTTGGCAGACTACGCCATGGTTTAACTGTTTTTTACTGCTGTACAATTCCAGAATAATAAAGGACGCTATATTGTGATTTTACCAAAATTTCTTTTTATACTACATCTACCACTTAATCAACACTTGAGTTTATTCTTGAGTCTAGATATTTGAGACAACTACGTCTACGTTAATAAATTGTATAGACTAGATTTAGATCTAGATCTATTCATAGTGCTCTACTCTTGTTAGCTAGGCTTACTAATATCTAAAATTTACACATTGAAAGACTAAACTTTAAATAATATAACTAATCTAATTTCTAATCTAGATTAATCAAAATCTGTCTTCTATAAGAGGGTGACTATTCCTAGTTTTACTTCTTTTGACTTCGACACATATTTGAACCCAAAACTTTTGGGTTAGCAGCCTAGTGCTCAGTTTGTGGCTAAATATGTTTCATTCATTGATAAATAATGAATAACTACTTGCATAAGTAAAGGGTGTTACATTTATTAACACAATCTTAAGATAATTACATAACTTTATTTACTTTATAATACATTTAAAATTTAAACAGATCCTGTGTTTATCTAACCCTAATTGTATGCTTTCAGGTATTGAAGTTTTGAAGGCTGCTGTGTGTTCAAATGCTATACCTTCCAAGCAAGAAAAGAGGTTGTATTTAAGGAACTGTAAATATTGTAAGCTATATTTAATTCTTTGAATTTTGATAAAAATGTTGATAAATGTTACATAATTCAATTTATTTTAATTTAAGCTTATGTTTTGGTGTTATATTTTAAATTTTAAACAAACGCAAGTAGGCATACATAGCGTGTTTGATAATATACATTTTATAACAAAAATCAGCAGCTCTTGTGATTTTTTAATCACCAGACTCTAATAATAATGTAAAAAGTTTATTGTATTATCATTATGTAATATATAAGTATTATAAAAATATGATATTAAACTTTGGTGGTGTATTTTCAGAGCATGATTACAAGGTTTCATAGCTTTCAGTTTATTCTAACAACATTTATTTGAGGCCAGAAAGGTGTGTAGTGTATTCAAGGTTCAAGCTGAATCATTTAAGTGTCTTCACATTGTAAGTATTGACACATTTAGAAACTTACATTTATTATTTGTTTTCTATTCCTTTTTTTTTAGAATTCAAATCTTAAGATATTTATATAATTTTTAAGATTATTACTGGTATACAATGTTACTTATTTAATATTGCAACAGCATTGGCCAGGGACAATTCCTACAGAAAGCCAAAAAGAAAACAGGTGTCACCAGTTCAGGTAAGGAAAAAGTTGACTTAAAATTCTCTTAAAAATGGTCAGGTAAATTATTTTACAATCCTAAAATCATCTGTTGTTGCTTATCTAACTATACAGTTAAAACATTTGTCTACTGTTAAAATAAATGTAATAATATTAATCATAGCTTTATTTAAATACATAAGGTAGGCCTCTTTCACATTGGCCATTTAAAAAAAAAACATTAACAACATATTAACCAATTACCAATGGGTTCTTAAATATTAAAGACAGTAGAAAATCAAAATGTGAAAATATTTCTGTAAAATGTACATGATTTTCTATTATTTAATTGGCATTTGTGTCATTATGTGTTACTGCAAGATAGACATTTAATGTCTACATTATTTCAGTTGTGGCAAGCTGTGAAATTCAGAATAAGCAGATAATGACTGAGGAATCTGGTGTATTCCTTCCAGGTAAGATATACTAAGGCAAAAGGCAATTAAAATGTAAACAGTTAAATATTTGTGCTAGTATAACATCTAGATGACTTTAGTAAAGTTTATTCCCATGAAAGTTATATTAGCATTAAATCTAACATTTCATTTGCTGGAGAAATAATTTGTTATTTGTTCCTGTAGGAAATCATGAAGCTGAGATGTGCTATGGAGGAGAAGCTGATCTACACAAACATGTTACTGGCTGTATGAAGAATCCAGGTCACAAAGGTTTTATACCTCTTAAAGATTTCAACACAATGTATCTCCCCTCACGTTACCATGACGACCTCGTGTTTGAGACAATCAAAACATTGGCAGCTCTAACTGTCCAGGTAAAGACTAAATTCACCAGTCTAAAGAGACCAGAGTTTTACCTAGGCACTCAAGTTCCATATCCATGTTATAATGACAGAGGAAGTCACGTGATGAGGTTAGGGACGGGGAAGGTGTGTTTTGTGTCCACAGAGAATGACAGAACTTGTCATTGTGCCAAGTGTCAAGTCTCTGCCACACCCAGCATAGTGTGGGGGAAGGTTTGTGTGGTGACAGCAACACACGTGGTGTTTGATGACAGTGAGGCGAGACAGACCAGGTGTGTTTTAGGTTTTGATGACAATAAAAGTCCAGTGGTCAGTCTTGATGGCGGGGAGATGTGGCGTAAGGCAGACATTGAGAGAGACTTGTGTTTGTTGAGTTATGTGACATGTGACTTAAAGTTGATTGATGAACTGGACAAGATGTGTCGGCGCTTTGAAGATCTATGTAGGGAAGTAAGGGACAAATACTGGAGATTTGATGATGTGGACAAGTTGACCGTTATAGTGTCACATCCTCATGGCTGTCCTAAACAGGTCTCTGTAGGACAATGGACACACAAACGTGAGAGGGATTACAGGTACAGCAAGTACACCAGGTACTGGTACACAACATGCACATGTCCAGGCTCCAGTGGAGCGCATGTCTACAGGCTGGGATATAACAGGTGGCCGTATCCCCAACCCCACAGTGGATCAAACTCTGAAGGAAATTATAGTGGGGAGGATTGGAACTGATGTAACTGTTAGTTCTCTCCCCTTGTCTACACAATGTAAACAAACAAAAAGTCATTAAACTGTTTGTATTAAGACCTGCCTGTCTTTTCAACATTTTATCACATTTAAATAATTACAACAAATGTTTTGATTAATGTAAACCGTTTAAGCGTATTAGTTTGCATGTACATTGATGGGTTTTAGAGTTTTTTTTGTTTCAAATGTTGTAAATATTTTTCTTATAGTTTTTGTCGGCAAATTGTTGTCATATACCTATAGGCTGGCTATTACCTGTAAATTAAATGTATAAATGTAACCTACTTACCAAATGTCAAATTCATACTGGTTACATTTGTTTACAAAATGTTCTCACTAAACGACATTAAATGGTAAAAGAAAATATCTTTCTACTGTTGCTATTTTAATCATTGTTGTCTAGTGATGTTTTTAAGTTGTTGTCAAACAGCGCATGTTGTGAAAAAAAAACATGGAATTCTAATAATTTAAAAAATGATTTGACACATCACGTACTATATTTATACACTTCGCCGCTTCTAGACCTGCCCCAATAGAAATATAAAGTGAAATGATAGTTTGATGCTGTCATTGACTGACATTTGTGTAAACATTGTTGTCATTATAATTGACTAGAAATCCTTTAACAATCATTGGCTGTGATATTATAAAACAATGGCAGTGATAGTGTGACTTTAAAACATTGAATCAAAGTTTTCAATTATGAAAACTGTAAAGCAGGGCGTTAATAATGGAGAAATGGGACGACATGGTCGAGTAAAAGAGAAAGCACATTTTGTCTCCAAGGACACGAGTTTGATTCCCATGTTCGATTACCTTTCTTGATGCACAGATCTGATGTGTACCTGGACATGTTTGGAGAAAAATAATTCTGCTGGGTGTTCCGTGTGGGCTAAATGACGTAATAAGTCATGGGTATAACAACACACATGAACTCTACTTTCTCTGCCAAATTGACCGCATGATATGCAAGTTAGCTCTACTTTAAAGTTGCTGGTCAATTTAAATATAATGTGTTACACAATGTTATACATAACTGTTACATCAATTCTACTTAGGTTCGAATATCGATACCTTTTGAGTTATAGCATGAAGATGAATTGGGGACTATAACGGTTTCTTGAGTTTAATCTCTGTTAAATGATTTGATTAAAACGATAAAACAAAATATGTATGAAATAAACATCCTTGGACAAAGCTAAGTTATAAATACTGCGATCTCAAAATTGGAAAAAACTACTTTGTGGTCAAAGGGAAACAACAATGAAATAAAGATTGAATGACAAGTATTTACATAGTTGTTTCCCTGTTTAATCAAATTTAATTTTTTAAATTTTTTATTACACAGTTCAAAAATATCTTATCCCCCAGCCCGCTTGCAAAATACAAGTTTAAAATATTTGAATGATAGTCCCCATTCTAGGGTAAGATTAAGTCATTTTTACTTTTTCGTATATACGAAGTATAGAGAAAGTCTTGTAATCGTGCATAAAAATAGCATGCAATTTTGACAGTTTTCGCCGTTTTACACCTCAGTCCTTCATTACATCCGGAGTATAGAGGACTTATTTTAATCAGGCAAAAATTATAAATACAAATATATAAACATTTTGGCGTTGTATGCGTTATCAAGTCGGACAAACTGGATTTTGCAATTCTGTCCGTATGTCTGTGTGTCTGTGTGTAAACATGATAACTTGAATACCGTTACAGCTAGGTTGGTGAAATTTCTTATATAAGTATTTTATCAAAATCTTTGATCCGTATCAACGTTAGAGCGTTTTCCGATAACCGGAAGTGGCACTTTTTCTACTTTGAATTTTCAAAAGCCTATAACTTGAGTACTATTTCAGATAGATAAATGAAATTTCACACGTAAGTAAAAGTTATAATTTTCTACCTTCTATCATATTTTGAGTAACTTCCTTTGACCGGAAGTACTAATTTACGCTATTTCCGATTTCTCAAAAAACGCATGTAAATTTATAAAGAACTAATAATATTGCGCACTATTATGAACATCTATATTTGGCGTTCACTTGGTGTGCAATTCTTTTTTCTACAAGATTTTATTCTATTTATAAAGGTCAAGTATTTAAAATGGATTAAAAGTCGTGCCTATATCCCGAGTTGCCATCGCCTATTATTTCAAATAAGAATATTCGAGAAAGTTTAGGGGAGATCACTCCCGGTTTATTTGCATCAAGATCGGTTGGTTGCAGTCATTTCTTTAAAATCACTTTCCTGTGTTTTAACCTACATCAGCTCCTAAAATGTAAGCAGTTCTTTTGTTGTTAGGAGAAAAAAGGTTTATAGCAGAGCGAATTAAATTAACAACAAGATACGTACAACACATTGTTACCGCACATAGTATAATGTACATGGAACAGATAAAGTAGAGTTCTTCAACAACGACAGTTGTAGATTTGTTTCATTGAACGTTTGCGGCAAAACGGTCAAATATTAAAACGTTTGGAAGAAACAGTTTTTTGAGTATCAAAATGTGCCTGTCTAACTCAGAATCAAGTTGACATCAACTGTTCAGCAGAATGCTTCATAAGTCAGTATCTCCAGCAGTAGATAGAGCGCTCAACTGTTAGCCGTGTCATCCTCTACCTAGCTGGTGACTGTGTGTCCCAAACATTGCCCTTGTGGTGTGTCACCAACAGTAGATTGGGCCATCAATGCGGTGTGTCACATATGTGTAAAATTCCGTTTGCCTAAATGAAACGGTACTTACGTTATCGATATTTTAGAAATCTTAAATTGTGTAAATTACCCCATTTGATTATTTTAAAAATTGTAAAATTTCAAATATAAGATCTTCATTGTAAATATGAAATGTCGTCTACATAAATAAAAACGCAGTCAAGATAAAGAATTACCAAGGAAATAATATAAAGTTCCACTTAAATGTATAAGACATTGAACAAAAGTCATATGCCTGGAAGAAAAAGAGGGTTATTGATAAAATCAACGTTTAAACATTAAACATTTGTATCGAAACTTTGAATTTTTTAAAGTAAACGATACCCGAATATTCAAAAATTATAAATATAATCACCGCAGCTAAAAAAAATTAAAGTTAATTTTGACATTATAAAACTTTAAAGGATTTCAGCTGCTGCTTAGTTTAGGTTTGATTGGTCAGCCGTGTGGGCTTTTCTACGACATGATTCTTTGTAAAACTGTCATCTAAAAGGTTATACTTGTTTACTTAATAATGTCTATTTTTAACACATCAGTTTATACACGATTGTTGTTATATATATATATAATGAAAATCCAATTGTTTCTTTTATTGGGACTCTCTTTTTCTATCGAGGACGATATCATGACATCAGGACACAGTAATATACACATCACACAAAAAGGGTGGGTTGGGAAGGGCATTGCTATATAACTTACATGTTGTTATAGAGTATTCAAATTTAAGTTTCTTCGTCGTCTTTTCAATCTCCTTATGGAGTATAAGCCATTTACACTATTCGTTCATGCTTAACTTTCTGTTTGTACTTTTTCCGTTTCTTTCCAACTCTTTTCAATAAACTGGCATTTTAAAAATATAAGAGATTTTTACAGAAATTTTATTTTTTACCCCAGAAAAATTCACTTGTGTAGCATTCTTGTCAAGATCTTCTAACTGTGAATTGTTTTAATTGTTATGTTCTGCCGTTCTCTTGTCCATATGGGATCTATCAATCAGCTCATCGATAGCTTGACCCGTCATCTTATCGATCATCTTATCGTAGGGTGCAGAGACCTGGGTAGGGACACATCCACATGACACAGTCACATGACACAGTCTCGTGACACGGTCACATGACACAGTCACATGACACATGACACAGTCACATAATACATGACACAGTCACATGACACAGTCACATGACACAGTCACATGACACAGTCACATGACATAGTGACATGACACAGTCACTTGACACATGACACAGACACAGACACATAACAGTCACATGACATAGTGACATGACACAGTCACATGACACAGTCACATGACACAGTCACATGACATAGTGACATGACACAGTCACATGACACAGTCACATGACACAGTCACATGACACAGTCACATGACACAGTCACATGACACAGTCACATGACACAGTCACATGACATAGTGACATGACACAGTCGCTTGACACATGACACAGACACAGACACATAACAGTCACATGACATAGTGACATGACACAGTCACATGACACAGTCATATGACACAGTCACATGACATAGTGACATGACACAGTCACATTACACAGTCACATGACACGGTCACATGACACGGTCACATGACCCTAGCACAACACATATAGTCAACGATCTGACAACATGAACCTTGACCTTACTGTATGTAGATACTAAAGGGTTTTTCATCAACCACGTTACACTACTCCTAGACGGAAGGGGGTTGGGTTGGGGGGGGGGAATGCTTCGGACAATTGAACATTTTTAACGAAACGATGTGTAACGAAGGGGCGGGGTGTCGGAGATTAGAAAATGTGACGTCATAATATTGTTTTCTGAAGTGTATTGTCGGAAACTTGATTTTTGACTAGTTTGCGTTCAAAAAATGTAATTGAAGTAAAATGTAATCAATATTCTTGAGTTGTTCTTGAAAGTGCAACTAAATTAACGTAAATGCCCGGTTCCCAATTATCTTGCTTCCGGGGTTGTAAACCACCGTACAGCTCTGGCCCAATAAAAGAATTCCGTACAAAATCTCTCGGCATCAGTTTAGTACCCAGACTCGTAGTAAACTCAACAGGGCCATTCGAGAATGGAAAACTAACACCTGCATTAGGATAAGGCGAGCGAACAAAAGGGATATCAGCTTTGTTTACTTCAAGCAAAAGAAAAATGTCTGTGTCTCACAGATGGGTATGCAAGGCGGTTTACAAAGTTTATGACTATCCAAAAGTTGCAGTTATAAAACTATTCTTCACGAAATTGGACATTTAATAGGATTTTTATCACGAAACAAGCCGTTCTGATAGAGATAAATATGTCGAGATTGTTTATACACATTTAAAAACACTACTCAAAATAAATATACTCAAAATAATCTACACGGCTTATTCCTCGTTTAGAACCTTACGACTATCTAAATGTTTTGCATATGGAGTGGAGACTAATGTTTCGTTTAGTAATTGGCAAACTTTGCCTTAAGGGGAGGTCGTCATATTTTTAAACAACAATATACATGACAACTTAAAATAATAAAATAACATTTACATTAGTAATTAAAATCATTCGAAGTTAAGATTAAAGAAATCTTGAAATTAAATGTTATAACTCGCTAATTAGAATAATTTTCTGTTTTATTGTTT